AAATATATATTACAGAAGAATTACTGGTTCGTTGCACACTTGGACTGCATCAAAGTTAGAAGGGAGATGATGGTGTAATTGACCAAATACAAATGTGGTTAAAAGAAGTCATTAAACATCCCTAGAGGAATAACTGTATCATATGATTTTATTGAAATAAGGGCTAAGTTCAGGAAAACAAAATGTCAACATAAATTTAGATCAGTCACTTCTGACCGTGTGTTTCTAGTATTCCATATTATAGTATAGTGCACTGTAATTCCTTGAGCATGAAGAAACTAGACTGTTTATGTACACCAAATAATGCACCATGAGGTGGGTGCTGGTTGGAGGGGACTTGTACGTTTTGTTTTTTGTGCCTTAAAAGTGGAATTTGTGTATTGTATTCCATGATTAAGATGATTTTCTGCAATGCATAAACAATAGACAATTTTAGAACCTAAATTAATTACAAATTGTTTCCTGTCACCTTCTAGATATTCTAAGTGTGTTAGTGCTGCGGCTGTACACCATATATACACACAGTAGGTGGCACAAGAGAGGCTCATCCCTTATTTTTACTTACCTCTTTCCATGGCTGCAGCATTCAGCTACTCCAGATATACTAAAAACAATCCTTTAACACCCTATTCTCCACGCATGAATCCTGGATCCACCACTGTTATTACAACGTTTTCACGAGTGTACCTGAAGATGATATGAGCTTGTCAAAATGTTTTACATTTGTAACAAAGTTTCTTTCACTACCCATTCAAGCTGTCTTCAAACTTTATTTTCTAAAAAGTGGATTCCTTATCATCAAATATCAAGTGTCTGTTGAGCGTAAAGAGAATAGCTACAAAGAATGGTTCAAAGAATTTAGGGTTTGAAGATGGTAAAATAAAAATGTGTGCATTCATAAAGAAAGTAAACAGGTTTTATTTTAATGTTTGAAATTGGATTTTTAAAATTAGCACTTGTAATAAAGATGTTAAAATTAAATGTAATGAGAGTAAGGTTTGGAAATCTAGTCTTTCACTTGGTTTTAATACAGATTTATTTTTCTTTTAGAATATTTAATGTATGTAGTAGCTTACTTAATGATGTGAAATCTGCTAATATTAGGATGCCAGAGATTACATTTTACATGCAGTGTTGATGTTTGTTATTGACTGCTTGTAGATCAAGTATGACCATGATAGATTGAGTGGCATAACATACAGACAAAAAAAAGAGTCATTTGGTCCTTCAAGGCTTTTCTTCCACACCGACCCTTGAATCATTTAAGCCAGCATATTATTTTTGTTAATCCCTTATAAAGTGCTTGCCCCTACTACTGCCAACAACAACTAATTCCATAAGCCAGTTACCCTATTAGCAGTGGCATGCATAGGGCAGGTAGTGGCTGGGTGGGCTAAAGCCCCTGCTTTCCTGCCCGAGTGCCCTGAAAGTGCCATTTTTTTTCTCTGTTATAAAATTTTCAACAAATATGAAAAAAATACACCTGATTCCACACTTGCTTGCTGTGAATTATTAAGAAAAAAAAATATTTCAGCATTAAAATGAATGGCACACAAAAACTTACAGGTTCTTCAAGTAAAAAAATAATTTTGTTATGGTATTAAGTTTTAACATACAATAATCCACTGTTTAGTTTTAGATTGTAAAAAGTTTATAAGACCAAATGAATAGGAATGGTTTTTACCCTATATGTCCCATAGTCTCCCTTAACTCACACACCCCCACAAAAAACAACAAACACATCTTATCATGCTTAAAAAAGTGCCCTTTTTGACAATGAGCCCCTGCTCTTTCAGTGTCCACTTCATATTACTGTCTAGTACAAAAGTAAAACTGTCTGAACTTAAACCTAACCTATGTTTTCCAAACCTCAAACTTGTGTCCTTGCAGTTATTGTCTTTAGAATAAGTACAAAACAATCAGTGGCCTTTATCCTATCGATCCCCAGAATAACTTCAGTAAGATCATCTCTCACCAGTGTAGTCCTGCAAGGTTGTGAGTTAGTATCATTTAATGTAACGGAAGAAATGCCACTGCCATACTTCAAATACAGATTATTTCCTGTGTTGCTTTCTTGTACATTTAAATGTGGATCGATGGGGATATATTCGCGTACCTAATACGGTCCACTTTATACTTAATTAAGTTTTTATCATTGCTTTACAGATGACCATGGATATACTGCTGTTTTACTATAATATACCTGGAGTAATGATTTTCTGAACTTCTAATTAACTAGTAAACATGGTAGCTACATTATATGATTAGTTTGATAATTAGCTGATCTATCAAAAAGGGAAATAATGGCAATCCCTCACTTCTGGATTGACCACCTCATCACTGCCTTTCATTCTTTTCTTAAGACAAAATATATTACGAGATTTTAACCTGTCTATTTACGATAACCCTTTCATCCCTGGAATCATCCTAGTAGGCCTCCTCTCTTAACCCTTTCATCCCTGGAATCATCCTAGTAGGCCTCCTCTCTTA